AAATTGCACCTTCTAGCTAACTGTATACTGTTTTACCTTTCATAACCTAACACTGTAATTTAGTGTAAAAAGCTGGGCTGCATAAGCCTAGGCTATATTAGGCTAGGCCAGGTGGGAATACCGCCCGAATAGCAAAAATCTACTGCCCGAATAGCAATACTCTTTATTTTATTCTCCGTTGCTCTTGCTCTTGATCTTGCTCTTTGCGGCTGAATGGAAAGGCAAGGACGGTTGAGCAGGAGCTAGGGAAGAGAAGGAACTGCCCAGTAGTAGCAGCCGGGGCTTGGGTAGTGACGTGTCTTGTCGCAGCGGGATGTCGCAGCAGGAGCGAGCCACAGAGTTTAGGAAGCAGGAGCTATCGCCCAGCAAGGAGCGCGGATTAGGAATGTCTTTACGAAGTGTAGAATCCAGCGAAGAACTAATCAGGAGAGAAGATTACCACCAAGATGCGCGCACTACACAAAGTACTCTGTCTGTGACATCAAAGCACATGCTCCTGTCTCCAAATGCTCTTTCATTGGTCTTCATCTGTCGTATCTATGTCCTTTTAAATGCATTGCTCTCTTTTCACTCTTTTCGTCTTGGTCTTACATTACATAGAAGTGATTCCTTTCGGATATTTCGATTCAGCCTCTTTGTTGCTTCTAGTAACACCATCGCTAACCTTTTTTTTTCTGCCCTTTCTTCCATTTAGATATGATGGATAACCGTCGTCCAGGGTGCCGTTTCCAGTTCGACATCTCCATGGAAATACAAGTAGCGCTAGTCGCGACGGCATGTCAATTCCCATCAATCGCCTCCAAGGCTTCGTTCGCACGCCATGTCCGCAAAACAGCGCTATCCAGCCCGCTAATCTCAAACGGAAATATATTGAGCAATTCAAGTGACTGTCTCGGCGACTCTCAGATTATCTCGTTTTCCCCTGTATTCCCAGATTTCTGGATGCTGCCGGCAAGGCGAGGAAACGGGCGCTGACTCCCTGTAGTTTGCATCTATTGCGTCTTCATGACTACTAATAAACTGCCGGTGTGTCCCTCTTTTCCGCTTCATCTCTATCTCTCTTTTTTCTACTACTCTTGGACTAATGTGAAGCCCAAATGATCTCCAGCTGGGCGCAACATGTCAATCGGCGATCTGCCAGTTCCCAATGGCTAATCCTTGTTCATAATGGGCTGGCGGTTTTGTGCGGCCTAACTCAGGCTTGTCGAGGCTTAAAATTAGTGCACATTCCTGCATTCCTTCTGTTGACGAAAATAATTACTGCATCGGTATATATGTAGAGATCGAGAAATCCTCTTCTTTGCCGTTGATACGTCGCCCTGGCAAGATTTCACAATGTTCGTACAGGTTCTCGATGTTTACATATCAAATTTCCAGAAACGACTAGATTTTTATCGGCTGTGCCATGCATACCAGTGCATATCAATTTCAACGACCCCCGGCAAACCCTTGGATAACTGACGGTGGAGGACGTTATACAAGCCTACGTGTATGGACTATATTTATCAAATCTGAATCCTTCTTTGTCATGCCTTCATCAGCGGCGAAATCAGCGAATGCCTACGAGTGTATACCGATACGCTACAGAGTACTATGCGCAACAGAGTACTCAGCAGGCCATGCTTGTACTCCTCACCCCCATGGGAGAGAAACATGGGGTCGCTGATTCAAAATTGGCCTCAGATGAAACTGATTGTACAGTATGATCTCCACGAGTAGTGGAGTGGAGTGAAACAGAACAACACTGCGGAGATGCCCTCGCTATTGAAATGGTCGTTTGCTGGGCCTTGACAGGACAATCAAATGCAGTGAGTAACACAGTTTGTTCGTGGCACGATATCCGCAATTGACCAACCTTGCTCGCAATATGAATATAAAATCCTTTTGTGGGCTCCATAGAGGTAATTGGCCCCGCCATATTATTCTCCACTGCTGTTGTCCTCTTTTGTTTGTGATGACCTCCTGAATGAGCGAGGTGGGTATCACACAGGTAGGCAGATGTCGTTGATTGTATTTTTCTGTTTCAAATCCTTGCCTGATGAATCATATTGCCTATTATGAAGGAAGAAGAAGCCAAGTGCTGTACCTGACCCCTGGATTATGGCGGCTTTTCAATTTTCCTCATTGCCGTTAGACGAATTGCTGCGTATTGTTATGAATAGCAGCTAGAACGGAACACATCGATAAATCTCCGAAAACCATATGATTGGAGTTGGTAATGAATGAGAATCTCTTCATTGTTGCTCATTGATATAGCTGACATTGTGTGTTGATATTCCCCCTAAATTTGAAGTCAAAGTAGACGAATGTTGACAACAATGAGATGCTACGCTAAACAACAAGAAGATGAATCTTGAGAAATGCTGACTGGAAGAATACTAGCACTATCAAAATGCATCAATTTGCATTGTCTATCCTATTCCTAGCTCCTGTCTTTCATCCCTATATGACAGCATCACACGTGGCTTCAATATCGTGGCCCTTCCCCTTCCAAGACTGAGATCTAGATAACCAGTGCACCCCAAGTCTGTGCGTAGATGCATTACATAGCCGTTGTTTAGATCTTAAAGTGAACGTACAGCCTCTCTCCCCCCTCCCCTATTCTCATTAGTATTATTTCCACGAATACCCTACCGCACGAACCACTTGATGCTCTACGCTCCCGTTCACGGATCGCCGCGCTCGGGAAGAAGCTCCATTAAAGCTTTATTTATGATTATTGTACGATTATATGGAGCTTTAAAGGTATCAATGGAGGAATAGAAAGAAAAAAAAAACTGATGGGGCAGCGTATGTGAGTTGTACCAGCGAGGTTCCGAGGAATGAAGGGTAGCGGGATCCGGTAGGCTTTCACTCTTTTCATATTTTTTTCTCTTTCTTATTCATTCAATCAGGGGGGAAAGCATGGTGGCAGTTGTGCGGGTGTCGTCGACGTAACAAGATGAAACAGGCTTCAGCTCCAGCATGACGCGTGTTTTGTGTTTGGTGGTGACTTATTCCATAGACATCAGCTAACAAGACTTCAATGCCTCGAATCCGTTTATTCAAGTCAGCTCATCAGCTCATCAGCCGATGACATAGTTAGCCGCCTAACCAACTGGCCAACTAGCTCATTTAACATGAATCAATCAATCGCCCTGTCTATCAATCAATCAATATGTTGGCCAGTTTCTTGGTGCTTGTTGGCTGACTAGCCTTGCTGTGCTTGACGCCCCTCCCAGCACCGCAGCCACGGTATGGGATACACACCGTCGTTGCTAGCTCCGCCGCCAATGCAGTGGCTTGACTGGGAATAGAGAGCAAAAAAATCAAAAAGAGGGCCAAAGGCAGAGGGGGGAGTGTGAATAGCCCCCAATCTCCCTAGACGCCATCGACAGGGAATGTCGGAACCAAGAAGAAGGGTTCGTCGGTTGATCTACACGACGCCGTCTCTACCACAGCTGTGGGAATTCGGATATGCCACAATCCGAGCTAGATGCCGTCTTGTACAGAGCTAGCGTTGTGTTCGCGACGCGGTTCGGCTATTCTGACTAAGTGATTGGTGATGATTCAACAGTTGTATTGCGCGAAGCTGAAGAGGCAGTGGGCGGTTGGCGATTTGTGGGCGATAAAAGACCCCCCAGAGCTGAAGTCAATTACATGCAAGTGTTCGGGATGGCACGCGGTCCACGGGTCAAAGCGAAGCATTTAGACAACCGTCTTCTTCATCTTCTCACGTACTGGGGCTGAATCCAGCTTGTAGTTGGCGGAGGGAACTGCTTTACTCCTTATCCATGGGAATCATGCGGGCACAGCCTCGTGTAAGTAACGCCCAACACTGACGGGAACCATTTACTGGAAGACCGGACGAAATTTACGAAATCCTTCGAAAAAAGAGGATAAGAAAACGCCATCGGCGAATTGATCCCAACCGTCATTCTCGGCTGAGCGGGAAACCGGGTAGCGGTTACGAAAAAAAAAAAAAACCAACCCAGGGCTTGGGTTAGCGTTGCTATTGTTATTTCGGCCAAGTCAGGATAGCTTCATTCATCTCGCATAAGATCTGCAGCCAACGTCAACCAACACCAGAACAAAAAAAAGAAAAAAAAAAAAAAACTTGCAAGCCACCACGCCCCCCCTCTTATGACCTACGCCCGGGTTTAATTGCCGATGAGAGCCAAGCTTTTTGAACAAAACGCCAATTCTTCGTCCTAACCCAAGCCTCTCACACCCTTGTCTTTTCCTTTCCCCCGTGCTTCGCCTAGAGTTACCACTGTTCTGGGAGAATCCTAGTGTTATCAAGCTGATTCCTTTTCGAAAGGTGCCGACGGCTCAGCGCCAATGGGGTTTTGAGGATCTGGGTCTCTCTGCACAATGGGCTATTGACTCTTGTCTGTAATGGGCAGATTTCTCTCTGTAAGGATGCAACCATGGCATAAGCTATACTACTAGATGAATAGGAAGCAACTATGTTATTCCGTATGCATGGATGGAGTTGCGTCAATTATTTTCTTTTCTAGTAGGCCTTTGCCAGGTGACGTCTGGTGCGAGTTTCGTAGACATGATCCTAGTGCAACAATGATGCCGAGTTTCACAATGCTCTATACAGATAGATATTAGCTCGCTCATTGACAATGAACAATGTTAGCTTGACAATATATAGTAATTGCAGGAAAAAAGATGTAGCTTTTGCTAGCTGTTAAACCGGCATGTGCGGTGTATCATACTCAAAGCACCGTCTATACATGTTGATATGCAGATTCAAGTACGAATAGCAGGCAACGTCTAGCTAGTTAAATAACAAATTCTTCCTGACTCCCATAGGTATTCCGAAATGCACACCGCCAATACCACCAAAAAAAAGTTGCTTTTATCCTGTAGGAACCATGTCCCCTTCCAATAACTCTTTTATACCTTCAAATCTAGTTTTCTCGTCTATGAGATAGGACCTCAGTATCGACATGCTAAACTGCGACATCTCGTCAACAGTCGAAGCAGGCTCCGGACCCGGGTAAGTGGCAATCTTCCAAGCAAGTCCCCAGCGCTGCAGAAACCCCATAATCATTGCCATTTTGATGGAGCGAAACTCATCGTCCGTCAAGCCGCCCACGGACCTCTCAAACGTATACCAGAATAAGCATTGCAGATCTTCGTGGTCGTAGAAATTAGCCCGCCCATATTTCAGACTGAAGTCTCCGTAGATTTGTTCGAGGATGTATAGGTTGAGTCCAAACGGGCCGATTGCAAGCTTCGACCAGCTCATAATGCCGACTAGTTGGCATTCGTTGTCTACCGCAAATGACTCTTTGGATAGATCGGTGTGATATACCACCATTGGCAAGCGCATTACTACGTCTATCTGATTGATACACGCGTTGATGATGGGGTGGAACTCTTCTGGTAGGTAGAATAAACCCTCTAAAATGCTAGTCTGCAGATTTCTTGACATGGCACGCTTTACTAAACTCAGTTGTCTAGGAGAGTTCCATGACATGGCGAAGAAACTGCGATGATTAATAATTTTAAAACATATATATATATATATATATTCAAGGTTGAGTCTTATTAGGCAAAGGGAACTACTCTTACCGTGCAAAGTCTCTTGTTAGATTTCTGCGGCAATGAGCGTTCATCTCCCTTGACCTAATCATGGCCTCGCCACGATACCACAGGAACGACGAATAAGGAGTTCCATGTACGCGATCTATCGAATAAACCAGCACTGGAGGCTTCTCGCCGCCGTCGTCGTCGCCCAGCTGGGCCTCGAGCACAACAGTGGGTACCTTGGATCCATATACTTTCTGCGCCAAGTTGATGGCATCGACGTCCAGGGGGATAGACTTGAGTCGAAACTGGACAATGTACTCCTGGTCCTGCCCGGCGTACACCGAGTAGCTACTGTTGCCTTGCTCCGGGATGGGCGTGAAGGTGCCTCCTTTGAATCCCCTTAGCCAGTCGTCGCACGTCTGGCGGGTGACGCCCGCGTAGAAGAAGAAATGGGCAATGTCAAACTCGCGCTGTTCTATGGGGTCTATGGCATCCATTGTGGGCTGTTTCACTGCCGGGGAGGGCTGATATGATTGCATACAGCTAGGCGAAAGGTATTGTAGGTCGTTTATAGCTTCATGAAGCATGATTTAGAAATACATCACTTAAATTTAGTCTTCACGCTCTATTCATTGTGCAAACGGCCAGTGTCATTCTGAACCTTATCATCTTCACAACTTTCCTCTCTTTCTTTTAGGATAAAGCGTTGACTACGATTCTGAAAGCCATCATGTTCATAACTTGTTCAATCTTTCATGGACCCGTCCGTCACAAACACAAAACAAACCCTTGTTATATAAATAAAGTTGGAATACCTTGTCAACCGGAGCTCATTCATCGCTCTCAATGAAAGTCTTTAACCGCATTCTATAAATGGAGCGTACTTTACGCATTATATCAAGAAACAAACAAAATGATGATGAATAGTATGTAATACAATCCACTCCAGTTAAAAAGAATGAAACCAAGAGACAAAGCCCATATACAAATGATGGACCCACGCCCTTTCAGAGCACAGACTCAACATCATGCCTCACAATAACAACAAACAGCCACAACTCATCTGTGCGCTCTCAGTCTCCGTCCTTCGGGGTCTATTCTACCTCACTCGTACAGGTAACTGAGGAGCAAGTGTCTAGTTGAAGAGTCTTATACACCCCTTGATATTCGTTAGCAAGCGCCTGCCTTGCATAGTCGAACCCATCAGGCGACGCCTCTTGCGAATCTCACCTGCGTGTGCGCGAGTGTTATCAGATTGTGCACGGAGGCCCTGTATTAATGCCCAAGATGCCTTATAGTTTTATTCTTGAAAGCAGGCAAAATATAACTCTTCTTGGAAAGCCAAACATCTACACATGACTCACGTAGACTGCAGCCTTTCAGTTGCAATTCCCTCCTATTCAGGCTTCACCTAATGTATAATGGAAGCAACTATGCGCAAATTCCCCTCAAAAGAGGTTTAGCATCAACGCACAATCCACCTCCACACTCATTCATTTTCCCGTAACCAAAATAGCAATAGCACTGCGGGGCCTAGCGGTAGACTGCGAAGATGGGATCATGGGGTGCGGATATACATGGGGATGGAGTGATGCGAATAGCAAATTGACAATGCCATCTGACATATTGTTCTTCTTTTTGAACTATGTATAATAGTTGCAAAACTTGACATATTCGTTGTTACATCACACAAAGGTGTGTGGTATATAAAAGGACAATAAAGACATTCACAAGGTGTTTCATAATCAAATGTTTGCCTTAATCGGGCTTCTCTATTCTCAAATCTCATGTCTAAATAAAAGTCATGACATCTTTCCGATAATCACCAGCTTCTCCTGTTTCCAACCCCGACAACTGACTTGCATGTTCAGCAGCTCGGTCAAGAGACTCGGGAAGAAAGATGTTGAACTTCTTCTTGGTTCCCGAAAACGCCGGTACGCAGATCTTGTTTATACCCATCATTAGCGTAGCTCATAAGTGTGCATTTTTTCCGTTTTGCAGACGTGACCCTGTGCTGTCTATGCAAATAACCCATAACTTTTGTCTTTGTTGAAAGACGCCCCGTTGTGTCCCCCAAAGACCCTGGTATATGTATAATAAAAAAAGAACAAAGGAAAAAGAATTTACGCCAGAAACCACCTCGCCTTCCCGTAAAATCCCATGGGAAAGCCTCCAGGTTTCGTTGAGAACCGTACGCCGCCTAAATGTGTCTGATGAAATATCGACGTGTGAAATACATCGTTTTGTAAATCATTTAGCAGAGAGATTGTTGAATACTCTGCACGCAGTTTGTAGCAGCAAGTACTTAGAACTTGAGCTGCTTGGGCTGCTCCCAGGTGAAAGACTGGTTGGTACCGAAGTGACCGTTCTTGGCAGTCTGGAGGTAGATGGGGCGGGTCAGGTCCAGCTCGCGGACAATGACACCAGGTCGGAGATCAAAGTTGTCACGGATGATCTTGACAAGCTCGTCAGAAGTCTTGTCAGAGGTGCCGTAGGTGTCGACGTAGATGGAGAGGGGCTCGGCAACACCAATGGCGTATGAGAGCTGGACAAGGGCACGGCGGGCGAGGCCAGCAGCGACCAGGGACTTTGCGATCCATCGGCCGACGTAGGCAGCAGATCGGTCGACCTTGGAGAAGTCCTTGCCGGAGAAGGCACCACCACCGTGGGCACCCCAGCCACCGTAGGTGTCGACAATGATCTTGCGGCCGGTCAGACCGGCGTCACCCTGGGGGCCACCAATGATGAAGAGGCCAGAGGGCTGGATGTGGTAGATGGTCTTGTCATCAAGGTACTTGGCGGGGATGGTGGTCTTGATGATCTTCTCGAGGATCTCCTTGCGGAGCTGCTCGGTGGTGATGTCGGCAGAGTGCTGGGCAGAGACGACGACGGTGTCGACGCGGATGGGGACAACGGCACCGTTGTCGTGCTTGTACTCAACGGTGACCTGGGTCTTGGTGTCGGGACGCAGCCAGGGGAGGGTGCCGTCACGGCGGGCAGCAGACATGGCAGCGTTGAGCTTGTGGGCGAGCTGGAGGGTGAGGGGGAACAGCTCGGGGGTCTCGTCGGTGGCATAGCCGAACATGATACCCTGGTCACCAGCGCCCAGGCTCTCCAGGGCCTGGTCGAGCTTCAGACCCTGAGCGATATCAGGGGACTGCTGCTCAATGGCAACGAGCAGGTTGAGAGTCTTGTAGTCGAAGCCCTTCTCGGAGTCATCGTAGCCGATGTCCCTGATGGTGTTTCGGACAATCTTCTGGTAGTCAAGCTTGGCCTGGGTGGTGATTTCACCAAAGACCATGATCATACCGGTCTTGGTGGCGGTCTCGCAAGCAACCTTGGAGAGGGGGTCCTCAGCGAGACAGGCATCGAGGATGGCATCAGAGACCTGATCGGCGATCTTGTCGGGGTGACCCTCGCCAACAGACTCGGACTGGAGGAGCGGATTAGCAGCTGCAGATGCGCAGAGGGGGATTGGGCGCGCTTACGGTGAAGAGGAAAGTTCCCGACTTGGGGATGCCGTTGGTAGCAGACATTGTGGCGGTTGTGTGAAGAGGGGTGGAGGGAAAAAAGAGGGATGATGCAATGAATGGGCGGGAGAGACAAAGACGACGGACAATCGCTGAAGAGAAGAATGAAAGGGGAAATGACTGAGAAGAAGGGAGGGAGAAAAAATTGGCGGATTCCGAGATTTTTATTTAGGCCGGTCGGAGAAGGAGGGGCGCCGTCGACTAGCTTCCCACATGTCTGGATGAAATTACACCATAGAGATACGCGCAGGATCGCTGCAAAATTGCACTGCGAGAATGTCCCCGATGCCCCACACTTTGAGCAACAGAGTCATCTAGGATTGCGAACACGAATACTACAGTGGCAGGATGGCTTATGCGAACGACATGGGATTTGGTGAAGCACACCCAGCAGAGACATACAGGAGGCACCCACCAAGTCGCATCAATTAACTGCTGCGACTCACGAGAGATTGACTTCGTCGACAGACGAGATCTCGCTTGACTGCCATCCGGGTGCTAATTGCGCGGTATTGGTGTGGCACTTTTTTTTTTTTTTCTTCTTTTCCCTTCTTTTTCCTGCACCCCAACCAAAAAAAAAAAAAAAAAATAGTCGAGTCCACAAAACGTTCCTGAGATGCTACTGCGCTAGCGCTGCGTGCCAGAAATTGCGCCATCGCCGCTGCAATTGTCTGTATCACTACTCTGTACAGTGTTTGTACTGGGAGTTTGCAAGTACGTAGTATGTATTACTAGTAGTATTAGGTATTGCTCTCTGTAAGATTTCAATTTACTACTACTCCGTACTGGGGGGGTAAGAACTCACACAGGGCTCCCTACACTGTACATGTACATGTCAGCTTGGCTGTTTTCGGCGCGACCCCGCCTGGGGGATTTGTCGCCGACGAGTGCTTCCGCAACGTGTTGCATGTGCTGGACCCCCATTCGGGCTGGATGCGGGCCACTAAGAAGAGCTTCTTGTCGATAACAGATTGAGGGGCCTCCGTCATAATTTTTTTCTTCTTCTCTTCGGGTACCGAAATTTAGCCAGGCATAGATAGTACTACTACATCCACGCTGCTATTACAAAGACTGAAAACAAAGGGAATACACACATATCCTGACAGCTGCGCCATCATGAGCAAGTTTGGCGCCATGATCATGGGCCCTGCAGGGGCGGGCAAAGTATGTGGCATCCTTTCATTTACGCCAGCTTACGGCGCAAGCACAAATCGAGAAGCAAACGAGCGGAAGAGCATGGGTGCTGGTGCTGGCGCTGATGCTGATGCTTGCGCCAATGCTTGCCTGGGTGGTGAACATCGGAATTCCTCCCGATATGGTTCCGACGAATGAATCATCCTGCATCTAGCTCTCGATATGCCGTTTGCGACAACGCCCCCCCAAACCGCGTTGGCTTGTGAATATTCACTGACTTTTTCTCTTCTATCCAGTCCACCTTTTGCGCCGCCCTCATCACCCACCTGCAGCTCAACCGCCGTTCAGCCTTTTACATCAACCTCGACCCGGCCGCCGAGTCGTTTGAGCACCAGCCCGACCTCGACATCAAGGAGCTCATCTCCCTCAAAGATGCCATGGAAGAGGTGGGCCTGGGCCCCAACGGCGGCCTCATCTACTGCTTCGAGTTTCTCATGGAAAATCTCGACTGGCTGACCGAGGCCCTGGATTCCCTGACGGAAGAATACCTCATCATCATCGACATGCCCGGCCAGATCGAGCTGTATACGCACATCCCCATTCTGCCGACTCTGGTCAAGTTCCTCACCAACTCGGGCTCTCTGGACATTCGACTCGCGGCCGTCTATCTCCTCGAGGCCACTTTCGTTGTGGACAGGGCCAAATTCTTCGCCGGCACTCTCAGCGCCATGAGTGCCATGCTCATGCTGGAGGTTCCCCACATCAATGTCCTGTCCAAGATGGACCTCATCAAGGACCAGGTCAAGAAGAAGGACCTGAAGCGATTCCTGACGCCCGATGTTGCCCTTCTAGAAGACGATCCTCTGGAGCGCAGCAGGAGAATAGTCGAAGGCCCCGACGAGGAGGATGATGAGTCTGCGCCACCTGATGAAAAGGCTCAGGTCATGAAGGGCGCCAGTTTCCGTCGCCTCAACAAGGCCGTAGCTGGTCTCATTGAGAGCTTCAGCATGATCAACTACCTCAAGCTGGATGTCACAGACGAAGACAGCGTGGGGGGCATTCTCAGCCATATCGACGACTGTATTCAGTACCACGAAGCTCAAGATCCAAAAGAGCCCGACGACGAGCAGGAGTATGATGAAGCTGATTAAATGGGAAAAAGAAATTATGGTCAAGGGGGGGCAAAATGGCTTTGATACATTGGCTGGGAGCACATCTGCATAGCGACGGCGTTTGTGGTTTCGCATTTGGTGCAGCTTAGATAAAGGACGTCGAACCTGAGTCTAGCTGCTTCTTGAAAAGGATTTACAAAAGAAATTATCAAGATAGTAAAAAATAACAAGAACAATGATTTTCCCAATGATGCAAATTAAACAAAAGAAAGAAAAAAAAAGACCCTATTATACGCCCTTGTCCTCTGCTCAGACTCTTTCCCCGTCACTTGTGACATGCTACCCAGGCCTGATCGCGTCGTATGTCCCATTCATCATATCCTCATGACTTTGTTATTCTTATCTTTTTTCTTCTTCTTCTTCTTCTTCTTCTTCTTCTTCTTCTTTGTTATATCCATTCATCCATCCCTCATCCTCCATTTTCACCTCGCCTGCGCATTAAGCACCCTACTGCTACTGCTCCTCCTCGCCGCATAGTCATCCCACCTTCCACTCGCCTCCTGTCCCTCATACCGCTTATACTCATCCAGCCACACGTCCTTGAGCACCGCCATGTACCCGACAATCTTGGCCCCCAAGACGGCCGCGTCCCTCGCGCTGACCAGCACGCCCCTGTTCACCACCCACGCCGCGAGCGCCGCAAAGGCCGCCCAAAACACCGCCCGGAAGGCCAGGCGCGTCCACCACAGGATGATCCTGCGCACCCAGTTGAGCACCACGAGCGTCGCCAGCAGGACCGCCAGCGGCACGAGCATGTCCAGCGCGCCCTGGTGCTCGGCGAGGAGGGCCAGCGCGCGGTCGACGAGGGGCTGCAGCACGGGGAGGACGACGTCGGCGCTGCGGCGGGCCTGTGCGACGGCGGTGCGCTTGACGGCCTGGACGGGCGATTGGGGGTCGAGGATGTGCGTGTCGATGAGGGCGACGACGTCGGCGGGGAGGAAGGAGGTGAGGAGCTGCGTCGTCAGGGTTTCGCCCATGGCGATGGTTGTGATGGTTGTTGTTTGTTGGTGGTTTTTGTATGTATGTATGACTCTGCCTAGGAAAGCGCTTGGCTCTGTCGATCTGTGGATAAAGCTGCGAGCGAACGATGGAGTAAAAAAGATCGTCTGAAAGTGTTGGTTTTGTCGGTCGGCAGCAAAAGGGAATAAAGACGAGGTGAAATGCGACGGGCTCAAGCAGCAGTAGTATCAATTCTGCCTGCCAACAAAGGGAAGCACACAGAGGCAGGTCGCGTTTGTTCAAAGCCGGTAGGCGACAATAAAAAAAGAAAAAAAAAAAAAAATAGTAGAATAAATAATCACTGAGCAAGGATCCGTGATAAGATAGCAGCAGAAAAAGGGTCCCCTGTTTGTCCTTGGCTCTGTCCAGTCCCGGCCGTGTGTTCAAGTCTCGCTCGTCTCGTTGGTTGTTCAGAGTTGCTGGGATGTGCTCGAATCGGGAGATGTTCGGCCCTCTTTGTTTTGCTTCAGCGCTCCTCTTTTCAAAGGTTGGGGGCTTTTGCGTGTCCTTGTTCCAGGGACTTTTCTCTCAAAACCCCCGCCCGCCGCGGTGGCGTGAATTTAGCCCGCGTCCCGTGCTAAGAGAGCTGGAGGTTTTAGCGTTTCTCGCTGCTCGCAGTCCTGGCATGTGATGCTCCAGCGTCGGCACTAGCCGCTTTGCACTTGAAGCCTCAAGGGCCGTGACCAAATCATATGAACCCATCACTGATTACGTGCATGCAGCTTCCTGAAAGATAAAAGGCTAATGGTAACAGGTATATTCACGGTTCTTCCTTTCGCATTCTAAGCCAAGTCGTTTACTAAGACAAAATCCCTTCCCTCCGCTGCCAAGTCGTCACAATCGTCTCAATAAGCAGAATCCGCCTCCCAAACCAAGAAAGAAAAAGGAAAACAGAAAAAAAAAAAAAAAAAAAAGGCAGCATAACGCTGAATAGGCAGTCTTGCCAATTAATAGAAATAAAAAAGTAATAGTCGAAGAGAATTATAAAACAAGTAAAAAAACATGAAGAAGAAAAGGGTATCGAAGGCATAAGCTGTCCGTGCATAAGCAAGCGCCGGAATAGCATTAAAATCATAGTTGTCCACTCCCCCTATCCCATCTCCAAACGACGCGTCTCATCCATATACGCTTCAAAGACGCAGTCAAATATTCGCAATCGTGAAAAAAAGAAAAATTGAAGAAAAAAAATGTCTGGGTCCTTTTCAAGGGATATCAGCTTCTCCGTTGAGAACGCGCAGAGCCATCTCGATCCTGCGCTTGTATAATTCATGGCCTCCTGGATTAGCTCCGTCAGGCTCACCCAGCGCCAAAACGCACTTTCCGATGCTTGCAACCAGTTTCTCAACAGTCACCTGGACATCCTTGGACAGGACTTGAAGCGCTGGCGATTGTCCGCCTCGCCCATTGCTGCTGGTTTGGCTGTAAATGCTCGATGTATCGGTCAAGAGCGAGTCTCTAATCTTGTTCTTCAGCCCTTGATCAGGAGAGCCGCCAGGCGTTAAGATACCACTGTTAAGCTTGGTCTTGTTGATGAGTGGGAAGCTCCGGTTCGTTCCGATAGATTCAAAGGACGAATGCGACGGTCGGTGCATAGATCTGACAGAACTGTTGCTCATTGGCCGAGGCGTAGTCATTGTGCTGCTCCTCTGGTGTGTCCCAAGCGTAGAAGCAGTCTCGTCGCTGCTGCTCACTGAAGAGTCTCTAAACGAATGGGCGTGTCTTCGCCGAGCATCTTCAAACAAGTCAGCCGCCGTGTAAACTCTGAAAGCACCCTGAGCCGTTGTGCTACGACTGTCCAGTCCCTCAGTTGCCGTTGCGAACGTGTCCACAGATGCTGTCGTATCCGCACTGCTACTCCGCCTGTGCGACACAATTGGGCCCCGTGTAGTTTCCACCGAGTCTGCCGAGCTCACACTTTCTGAGCGCAGTCGCTGGTCCGTCATAGTACTCATAGCAGAGTGCAAAAAGAAGTGCTCATAATCAAAGGCGTCCTCGCGGTCTTCGTGGGAGATGGGCTGCTGGAAAGATTCATGATACAGCGATTCCTCGCCTTCGCTTGCATAGCCATCGCGAGCCGCCTCGGGGCTCGACTCTACTTCCGTGTACTCAGTAGCGACACTTTCTGCTGGTGATGAGCTCCGGCGGCCGTTGATTGCTTCTTGTTGATCTACTTCCAATGGGCTGGCCAGGGTCCGAACCTTGGGAGTTTCGCTCTCCTCGAGACGCTCATGGTCTTCTTGAGGCTCTGGGGTTAGAGGATGCTCGTCGATCACTCTGACTCCCTGCTCTTCTCCCTCTCCTTCCCCACTTTCCTCCTCTTGCTCTTGATATTGCTCCTGATATTGCTCCTCATACTGCTCTTGGTGCTGCTCCTCATACTGCTCTTGAAGCTGCTCCTCATACTGCTCTTGAAGCTGCTCTTGCTCTTGCTCTTGCTCTTCCTCTTCCTCTTCCTCTTCCTCCACTTCCTCAATGGGCTCGGCTATGTACTCGGGCTGTTTTCGTGCATATTCGTTCTCGCCATTGCTCATGTTTCCGTCGACATGCTCTGCCGTTGTTGGTGTATCCTCTCCGCTGCTGTAGAAACCACGCGAATCCGCAGAGTTTGGTTCCCAGGTAGCATTGGTAAACGGACTAGGCATACGAAGGCTTTGGAGACTGCGACGCTTCATGCTATCTGCACGTGCTTGCTCTTTCAAGGTAGATATCTTTCCTTTCAGGCCCTTCAGTTGGTCTTGAAGGTCTCGCATCTGTGATGCCGAAGCAGAACGAGTCAACCCAAGCTCAGAATAGGCCCCCGGCGTGGGACTCGCTGAGGTGGTTGTTCGTGAGCCGTTTCGCTGCCCTCCGTTCCCATTCAGAGCCTCCAGAGTAGTGTCTGATTGATAGTAGCTGAAATGCCCATGAGCGCCTTGAGTCGAAGCGCTGCTCCCCAGGCCGTCCATGCTTCTGGATGTAGGCAAAGGCCGCCGATAACCACCAGCAGAACCAAGAGCGCTAGCAGACCGCTGTGTATAGCCCGGCACCTTTGATGTTCCATAAGACCCAGAAATTGCACCGTTCTCGTTGCCCGTTTTCGATAGATTCGTCGCAGCTGATGTTACATCTGGCCTACGGAGTGCTGAAGCGGCCCTTCCCATGGTAGGCGATGGTGTTGAGCCGTCGGATACAGATGAATAACTCAAGGTTCTTGCTCGGGTAAGATTGTCCTCCATATGCTGCAAAGAAGCTCATTAGTCCTCTTTCGAAGAAAAGGGGGGGTTTCACTTTGTTCCTTGCGCAAAGCTTACAGTCAGTCTCATTTTGGCATTGGCGAGAATCTGCTCCGCTCGCTTGCTGATAGAAGTCCCATCATCACTCAGTCTCCGCCTAGCCGTCGGGTCATAGGCGCGTAAGTGGTGTGAGGCGGCTGTTCCTTCCACGTACTCGGACGCCATACTCTCTTCGTCGTCGCCCTGAAATATGCTGTCTCCGCCCACGCTCGCCGAATCGTCGAAATCGATGAAGGCACCGCCGTCGTTTGCGCCAATTGTGCTGGTTGAATCGGTGGACATTCTTCGCTCGCGATCATTCTGCTGCTGGCGCTGTTGTTGCTGCTGCTGGTGTCGCTGCTGTATAAACCTCTTTCCCGCAGTCAGCGATGCTCGAAACGGGCCTTCGTCGCCCGAGCTGTGGTTCGAGCGCTTGGACGCATTGCGCGAGGGAATCGGCCCAACGACGCTCTCCACCTCTGTGACCTCGCCAATGTCTGAAAGCATGGTTCCATTGCCGTAGATGATGGGCGTTGTCAGAGGGTTGGGATTGGCGTAGAAGTCTTGGGTGAACTGAAAGCCGTCTTCGATATGGTGCCCGCTGTTCCAGAGCGACGGGCCCGTCTGCGACCGGCCGCGGTACGTGTCGGGCTCATCGTAGTCGGGCAAGATCATGTCCGGGTTAGTCAGGGTTGGAGATGCGGGTTGAGGATACGGAACGGCCATGCCGCGAGCGTCTTGTTGGCCGTCATAGCGATTCGTGACAATGGACTGCAGCGTCATGGCTGATCGGCTGGCTGGACCCAAGCTCAAGGAAAGCGAGTCGCCGTTGTTCTGTTGCGCCTTGCCGGGCTGTATTTCTCGCTGTGCCCTGTCCCTTTGCAGTCCCTCGATTCTTCCGCGCCTGGCGCAAGACAAGTCACGGAAACTCTGCTGCCCAAGCGTCTAACAAAGGTACATCCAGAGCAGCGAGAACGAAATAAAAAAAAAATAAGCACAAAAGAAAAAAAAAACGAGTGTAGTTGGGATTCAGGGCTCGCGCGCTGCTAAGCCCCTGGCAGCCTCGCGAAATAGAATTACGAAAAGGGAGAGATGTTCAAAAACTCCGCGATGCGAGAGTGGACCAGGGCGCGCCGCGAGACAAGAAAGGAGCGACTTTAAAAGCGGCCGACGGACGGTTTTGGCTGAATCGATGCTGCTGCTAGCCGGCAACCTCTGAAGCGAGCGGAGCTTCGGTCTGGATCGTCGTCTAGCAATTAGAGGGGAAAAGAGGACCCAGAAAAAGCAGTAGAAGAGAAAAAAGAGGTTGTCACGAGAAGAGCGAGAGTGTCGCTGACGCCCAGAAACTGCGCTGCAAGTTGCATGCACTATTGTATTTACAGGCACCTGCCCGCCCGAGGCAAGGTATGCAAGCCTGGAGGCCCGGGCCGCAGAAAAGTCGAATGAGTGCCTGGTCTGACAGGAACGGCCACAAAAGGGCCACTCATCTAGCTGGATTGGAGGGGTGGCGCTGTGGCGCGCTGGGGCTATTCAGGGCGCGGATCTCAAAGAGGGCTAGGTGGTCGATTCTTATGCGTCGAAATTGACTGGGCGTTTTGTTTTGTTTGCTTGTTTCTTCTACCCGGCGTGTCAGAGATGAGGTGCGTGTTGTCTGTGGAAGAGGTATTTCTTTCTCAAGTTTTTTTTTTTTTTCCCACCCGGACTGGCCGAATCCTCGACCTAACGACGTAGATGCAACGATTTGTTGGTGCTTCCCAAAAAATACATCCGAGTACTACATGTACATCTGCAGCGGTGCAAGCACATGTCGGTAATTGGCTGCACGGGTGCATGCCGCGTGATGGTATCTCCAGCGGTAGGTATACCAAATAGGTGGCCGCTTAATAAGGCACCCAGGAGGTAGCCTCGTGCCACGACATACAAAGATACAGAGTCTTGTACTCCATACCGGTGCTCCATACGCCCTCTCTCTTCACCATATCCGCTCGCAAAGGCGAAATAACATGTGCTCCATAGTGTCCGTATTTGCCGGCGCAATAATACAACCCAACTCCACTACTGCAGTCCCGCCGATGAAGAAAGCGTGGCAACGCCAGCATGTAGGCACTCAGCATTGTTGGTCCTACCTATTTGCTACAAGCACGGCGCCATCACCATTCAATCCCTCGTATTGTCTTCCTTTTTGCCCTTCTTTCGCAGGAATAACACAAGGGGAGAGGCAAAGCTGCGAAATTAGTCATGTGGAGGGCCGCATAATACTAATTTTACCCGATGCTCGTAACCCCAAGACCCGGCAAATCGCCGCGCTGTGCTCCATTTTGGCCCGGGGCCGTGCAAAACTAGTCTATTGGCCTCTTGTTCCAGATACACGGTTTATCCATGCCGCGTAATGCACCGTATTGCTAAAATAGTAGCAGTACCTGGTTGAGCTGCAAGTCAGCAATGCAGTAAGAGATCTGCGGCTCACTCGCAGCAGCAATTCTGTCCTCTTTGCGCAGAGTTTCTTTTACTATTTTGGGTTCGCATAGCCGCGTCATTTTTCGGCCCCACTGGCTGGGTCTACCATCTCCAAGGCTTCTGCAAGACATGCTTGCTTGTTGTGGTACAGGTCCATACATACGTGGAAAGAAACGGTGCCTGATCTCCATACTAAAAAAGACTAAAATGAGTGTGTACTACTAATTCTTTGAGGTCCTCGTACCAACAGTGGAGCAAAGAAGAGGGCGTAAAACGAGTTGGCCAGTCATCTGCGACGTCGTTCGGCTTAGCTATGTGTATTTATTACATGATCAACCTCTAAATCTACACGAATCAATGTTCATTTCTTCTAAAAGGGACAAGAACACAAACGTAGCAAATGAATAAGCATGTCATGGAAGCATTAGGTACCTAGGTAGGTAGTAGAGACAGTAGAGATAACAAAAAGCAACAGGGACACTATATTAGCTCGAAAGATTATAGATTGCTGTTTCTTCCCCGCATGATGTTGGGGATAAACCAGCTCCCACTGGTTATTTGATTAGAACAGAGTTTTATTCTGGGGCTATCCATTGTCGAGTTTGCGATGGAATGCGGTATAGTGATGATGACCCATTTTGAAAATAACTGCTATTTCCTTCTGGATGTTTGTTAATTGGTGCAATGCCATTTCACACATCATTAATGAGAAAATGTTAAGAGAGAGGTAGTGTCAGCGTATGGTCATGCCTAATGGTGCCAAAGCGGCCTGGGAGCATATCGGAGACGAAAAGGCTGCTTGTTGATCGAAATGGCAATTGGTACCATCTTAACGCAAGGACTCTCGCAGAGCATCACATTCATTAGAACAATAAAAGTTTGCATAATAATAGGCCATGTACTGATGGTTATAGAGCTCCCTGTTTTACTCTCATTTAGATGCAACTCGAATCTGTTTCTACAGAGTGTTGAACGATATTCTATGATATTCATTTTCCCGCCTTTTAGTGTTTTTTTCCTTCCCTCGCCCTTTTGTCGTTTTGATCATTTATTTCCTGACACTTCGTTGATATGCTATTGTTTTGTTGTTGAATAAGAAAAGAAAAAGAAAAAGAAAAAGAAGAGAAACGGTTTTGGTTTATTGCTTTACATCCGCAATCAAATCTCATCAACGAAAGCTTCGGTTCGGGCCTGGATGGTGCTCTTATCCTCCTTGGGGGGGCGGTTCGCAACCAAACGCTATCAAATAATTAGCTTTTTTTTTCCTCTTACACTGTGATATCTCAAGAGAGATGCGATATATTGCACTTACAACAAGATTTCTCAGCAGAATGGCAATAGTGACCTTTCCAACTGATGGCACATAGATGGAAGCCTTCTCCTTGACAGCGACTCCATCAAAGTTCTTGAAAGAAGAAAAGTTGATGCAAACGGCGCCGTCTCTGATAAGCTCTGTGGGAACCTTGTATGATTCCACAGGCACTCCTCCAATGATGACATCGCTCAGAGGTAGGCACTGCTCCAGACCCCAGCCCTCCTTCTCCTCCACCTGGTGGCGAACCTTTTTGATTCCCTGGCCACGGGTGAACAGCTGTACGCCGGTAATATCCACAGAGTAGACGGTGGCACCATCGTTGGCCAACAGGGCTGCGAGAGGGCGACCATTGACCTCGGAGCGGTTGATGACGGTAATGGTCTTGCCGAACAGACGGTTGCCGTAAGCGAGGATGGGGTTGTAGATCTGGAGGTGCTCCAGAATCTTAACCACGGCCAGCGGGGTGCAGGGCAGGATGGACTTCTTCTTGTTCTCGGGAGGATCCAAGAAGCGAATGTTGTGATACATGTTGTGAAGGTAGCTGTGGCGCAATCCCTCGACGTCCTTGGTGAGATCGACGGTCTCCTGGACATATTTATCGTGGGTAGGGTTCTTGGGGAAGATGGGGTAGTAGACGAGGATACCGTCGACCGCGTCGTCCTCGTTGGCCTTCATAATGTCTTCTTCAAGGAGGTCTTTGTCGACTCTGCGGAGCTCGAAGTTGAAGCCACTAGATTCGGCTGTTAGAAACCATATCACGTAGATGCGGCAACACGGCAGCATTTCGCATTCTCACTTTTCCTCGCAGGTCTTTTTGGACCACTCGGCATACTGGACGGCGGCAGGGTCGTCGTTTGCAAGGAATGCCACCAAGGTTGGGGCACTGCTACCAGCCTCCTGGACCTTGGAAAGGGTTTCCTTGACCTCGAGCAGGAGCTTCTTGGCAATGGTCTCGGCGGTGATGACCTTGCAGGTCTTGGGAGCTACTTGAGATGCCATCGTCGAATAACTGTATGGACAGAATACGGGAGATTGGTGTCAGCACAGAGCTTGCTTCAGCATACAACCACCGAATTTCTCACCTCTGAATGTAACGGCGATGACTCTTGACTTCTTTTGACCCCACCAAAGTCGGAACCTTTATGACATCAGCGCAACTGGCTCCGTGAGGCCGGAAATGGGCAGCCCTACAAGCAATTTGTCCAATGGGCGGTGTGATAGTTGAGATCTAGACGAGCGACAAGCAATGCCTAGGTTATGGCACACTCTGAAGAGAGGGATTGACATCTGGACGTCATTCTGTCTCGCAAATGAGAAGAGGGAAAAAAAAAATTATTTCGAGATAACAGCCGTTGCCGGCGCCGGAGCTACGGCAGGCTGCCCCTCCAAAGCTGTCTTTGCCGATTCAGGACTAGCGCCCCAAGGCACTCTGCAGAGCTGGAGCTCCAGCGAATAAGCAATTGCAGAGGCGCCCTTTCCGGAACTGAGTGTGTCTGCACACGTAGATACACATAGATCACTAAGAGATTTATATGAGGAGGCCGGCCTAGGTCTAGCTTTCATGATAAACTCTTGTTCTCCAATGAGGAGTGTGCATGTTCATAAGGCTAGTCGAGAGCATCAAGCACGTGCTTTGACCGATCGCGGTTCCTTATACAGTAATGCCACATGCAGGTTGAATCATATACGTGTAAAGGGGTCCAGATATATTTACCTACATCAATTACGTTACATGTGATTTCTCTAAAAATAGAAAATTAGGTATCAAGTCAGGAAAATGCAGCAGTCAGATGAAGCACAGGAATGCACTCTATGCGGGGGTAACAACAATGGCCCAGCATCTCGAAGCATTCCCATTGCGAAACATTTCCATGTGAGTGTACCACATGGGTTTCTATTGTCGAAATACAATAGTTTCAGTCTCTCCCAATACTCGGGACAGCATCTTGTACATGTAGCATGGTGACCACCAGCAGTCTGCAGATGAGCTGTCGATAGCAAGTGCCAAGTCGTATCAATGCAGCGACATTTTTAGCTTTTCACTAAATTTGGTTTATGACCAGTAAATTGATAGTACCAAATTGTCAAATGCGCACGAGGCAGCTTTACCCGTGGAGATGGATTGCTGGCTGCTATTCTGCCGATTAAGAGATGCTAGACCGACATACAGTAAACCACCACGAAGCTGACAGATAGAAAGATGACGTTCAGATGCTCAGCCTCACCTCCTAAATCCTTTTCTTACTGCATTCCACCTACCAACACACGTGCTTCTCTGGCGCCGAGCTAAATGAATAGTAATGGGTGTCATCAGCAGCATAGCGGCTCACATTGAGCAGGCAACCCTCTCCTGCGTCACGCGATGCGCGCACAAATGCAGCATCTGCGGTAGGCTACGCTGTTACTTAATCAAGTTATAGTAATTGTCGACACGCTGGGAGACCAATCGCCGCCGTCACCTCAGTCTTCATGAATATTAATAATGGAAGACTTCGTGGAAGTGCAAATTCGCGCCGGCGATATTTATTTAAATGAGGCACACACTCTCTCCGCCAATCTAAACAACCTGCGCCACACCCGGGAGAACAGGTAGCTCTGATGCTACTCTATTTAGCGCTCCCCCTTTTCGCTCATTTTAAACAATAAATGCGCGTAGCGCAAACGCGACGGCGTTTCGTTTCGACGTCAAGCTTAGGCCAACTAAGGCAGGTCAGCAGGAGAAAAATAACTGCCGCACAGGGTGTTTGTTTTTTCCCCCGTCAATGCAAGGGCTTACAGCTCCTGGGCCTGTTTCGGTCTGACAGGAGCTTTTCGGGGCGTAAGAATGGATTACTATCAGACAAAGGCCAGACCCAGACATCTGAGTCAATTGTCATATAACCTAGCTACATTGTTGTTATACGCGCCCGCGTCCGTGCAGATACCTAGTGCCCGTCGATCCGCTTCTTCATGGTGCGTCATTGTCTTGGACGAAGCACTGCCGATCAATTGCCCTCTGAGGTCGTTCGTCGCCAAAAATCCCCAGTGTTATCCATGTAAGCCGCTTCCATGTCTCGTCACCGGGTTTGCTAGGGAAAGAGGCAGATCGTCGCTTGTATCCATCTTGGGAAATTCGCGATTGGCATTCAAGGACGGGTTGCCCATGTAGACACCAGATGTGAGACGTGGTTTCCAGCTTACTGGTCAGTGGTGAGACAACACACAGGGCACATTGAGATTTGTCTTTGCGGCTCAAATTGCAGGGCAGTTTGAAGAGTAAAATTGAATAGTAAACTTGGTTGGAACCATATACGAAGTAGAGCTCATAAAATCATTATCAATTAATGACAGAACCAATCTATTGACGCGCAGGCGCTAGATATCCTACATCGAAAACAACATGGTTCCCAGAAAAAAACAGACGTCGTGCCCTGCGCTTTCTATCTAGAGAGATTCAAAACCGAAACCAATCTTCCTCGCCTTTTCCAAGTAAAGTAAAAAAAAAAATATGTGCAAATCAACAATAAAATAGATTAGAGCCGTCAGCCCTTCCAGACGAAATTAGGCGTCATACCACGGCCCGCCAAAAACCCCCGATGGCGTCCACATCTTTCCATCATCAACCGCTTACAGAGCGAAGTAGGCCACGACCAGGGAGGCAACCAGGGCAAGGGAGCTGCCGCCAACGCGAGCACCAGAGTTGGTGGGGGGAGGCAGAGGAGTGCTGGGAGGGTTGGAGGGAGCAGCGGTGCCGGAGGGAGCAGCCCAGGTGGTGGTGGCAGCCTGGCCAGGAGGAACCCAGACAGGGGAGCTGGGAGGAGGAGGAGGCAGGCGGGTGGCGCTCTGGAGAGTGGTGGGAGCGGTCAGAGTAGGAGGAGCAACGGTGCCGTTGCAAGGAACGGTGGTGGTGGCGTTGAGGACGACGGTAACGTCAGTGACGGCGGGAGGAGAGTAAGGAGCCGAGGTCACGACGGGAGGAGAGTAAGGCGCCGAGGTGGACTGAGTGGCCAGGGAGACGGTCTTGACACCAGTGGAGGTGGTGATGGTGGTGGTGTCCTTGGCAGGAGGAGCAGCGCCAGCCTTGATGTGGAAGGGGTTGGAGTACTGGAAGATGCTGGGGTCGTTCTCGGACCTGACGATGAAGCCGTAGAAGGCATCAGTGCCCAGGGTGGCGGGGACGTTCCAAACGAATGAGCCAGCCTTGTTGGCAACGCCGGCTAGATGTCGAGGTTAGTCACTCGGCTGCTTCTTCTTCTCTTTGTTCTTGTGCAAGGCAACTTACTGGCAATGACATCGAGAGGAACCTGGGTGCCCTGAGTGGGGCCACCAATCAGCTGGATGGAGATGGTGTCGGCGGCGTACTTGGCGGGAGTCTGCCACTCGATGGTGAAAGGAGCACCGGCGTTGATGATCTGGTTGGAGCTGGGGACATTGACGGGGTCAAAGTCGGCAGTCTGGGCAAAGGTCGAGGAGACCAGAGCCAGGAAAGCGGGAACAGACAGAGTGAATCGCATCTTGACGGTTGAAATGAAGGTTTTTTTTTTTTACTTGTTGGAAAAAAAGAATGAAGAAAAGAAACAGCAAATAAGTAAAGAGTGACTGTTTGTCTTGAAGACAAATGGATGGACTGCAAAAGCTTTCTTAAGGAGTGTAAGCCTTTAATGAGGGTGAGAGGAAAAGAGAAGAAGAGGGAAAAGCATCTGATGAGCTGGGCGGAGGGGATAATAAGTAAATGTGATGACTTGGGGTTTCACGACGACAGGGGGTATTCTGGACAGACCCCTGTCAAGCCATGGAAGCGTGCACCGGCGGCTACCAGAAGAGGTGCGTGTACCTGGACTGGCCGAGAACTTAGAGTTACCAGGTGCCGGGATGAGGCATGTCGCAATGCGCCGAACGTATTAGGCACTTGTACATGTACAGGTAGATAGATACGCGTTTCTATATTTGTGCTCTCGGCGCTGGGTATTTTGCATTGACTCTTCTATTGCACTTGGTTTGCCATCGTATCGCTCCTGGTAACTGCTGCTACGTCTACCTCCTTGTTGGCACAGAGGTCCATCCACAGCAGCTCGGGTACTCGTGGCGCGGCAGCAGCAGTCATTTCTCTCCTCGTGTAACGTCCCGCGGCCAGCAAGGACCTGGGATGCGCCCACTGGCCTTAGATTTTGTTCCTGCAGACATTTGAGGGGGGCCGTGGTCGATTTTAAAATTGCATCGCCGAATCCGTGCCGCTGATTGGCTGCTATGGGGGAGGCCACGACAGGGCTGTGGTGCTCTAGATACGACGCTACGGCCAAGCGTCTAGCTCTAGCCCCATGGCTTGAATAACGTCGCAGAGTCACAGCGGCTCAGGCACGTTTACGTTGGTTCATCGACCCCGAGTCGGTGGCGAGCGCACGCAAACCTTGGAATGCTCAAGCATGCGTGTGCGCTGTCGGGCACTACGTTTAAAGGAACGGGAAGAGAGAAAAAAATTCATGTTCCCGCCCCTCCTAAACCGCCCTGTGCGCACGAGAATATCGCGCAATTGGCAGGGCGGAAATGATGCAAAACAGCGGCCCTCAGCCACAGGTACGAGCCTCTCTCTCAGCTTATCTTCAGCTTCCGCTCAGCTCGAAGATTCTGTCTCAGATCAGCGATAGTATACACAAAATAGAACGCGACTAGTAGAATCTTGGCAGCTGGCGGCTGAGAGTTAGACTCAAGTAGGGCAAGAAAAAAAAAAAAAAAAGAAAAAAAAAAAAAAAAAAAAAAAAAAAGGGTTATCAAAGTTCCTTTANAAAAAAAAAAAAAAAAAAAAAAAAAAAAAAAAAAAAAAGAGAAAAGCAAACACTTCTGGAAGCAAACAAATGTCTAGGAAGCCTTGTGCCACAAAAACCAAAGTTGCTTGCACTGCACCCCTTCATATTCATTCAGGCACGGGACATGGATATGCCTGGTTTGTAACTCGTATTGTCCTTGTGCAACAAACCGCTTATATTTCCTGCCTGTTAACTTTAAAGGGGACATTGGCCCGTCTCGAGATCTAAGCCCACATCTCCACTCTCAGGTCACAACCTGTCAGCCGTTGCATCAATCATAATTCATTCTAAAATAGGAAATCCCCGAACTATCGAGGCTGGAGGGGCTAAAAGCAATAGCGAACTTTAGCCTGCGATGCTATTTGCTGCTTACACTCAACTCTCATGCAGTTCCACCGAAAGGATTGCGCCAATTTAGACATGCAGCCAACGCATGGTTACTGTGCTGTATTATTCCGTGGACAGCAGTGATAGGGTGATTTGAATAGTGAAATAGGTATTACAGTATGGCATTAGATAGAAAGCCACGAAACAAAAAAAAAATTAAGGGAGAAGAAAAAGTGTCCGTCTCCCCTTACGCCTTTGCTTTCCGAGTGGAGTATTTGCTTTTACGGTTGCATTGTTATTTTCAAGTTTATTTCTTAGGCACCAAGTTTAAACAAGAGGAGGAAAAAGTGGCTCTACGTGAATCGTTCGCTTTTGGAGCATTACAAGTTTCAGCCAGGATTTATCAAGCGGTAAGAGATGGCGGTCATTTACAAATGCATAGTCAGCAGCTGCGGCCGCCGTATATCTAGAATCAACAGCGGGATAAATAGGATTAATCAAATTGTATAAATTAGAGCTTGGCCACTTACATGTTCAGAAAGTAATAGGCAGAAAAGGGTGTTTAATATTTTCCACTACCTCTACTGCACCTCTACTCCCTCTCTTCAGCAGACCTCTTATCTCTTATCCACCGAGTCCGTCTCCTTTGGCACCATATTAACGGAATATGGCGGCTTTGGCCTTTGAGCTGGATGGAGAAGATGGCTGTACCTAATTTCATGAGAATACAGCTCTCGTGGTATTCGCCAACAGGGAAATGCCTACCGACAATACATGAATTACCAAATAATATAGCAAAGAGCTTAATGGCGGCGCTTTTGGCGGGTGTAATCTAGTATAACAGGCCGTTTAATAGCGGCTGGCAATCTTATATACGCCGCACACATTAGCATTTGATACTAATTCTCGGCACAAATATTTTGATATCGTATCTTTGACGTTCGCTCCAGCAAGATTGATTGCTGCATCACTCTCGAAGATATTGTGTTAGTTCTTCATCTTGTTAATGTCCTGCAAATCTAATATTAAAGAAGGATGCCGTAACGTTGGCTCGATAGAGACAATCAAAATCTCTGCCAGCTTTGGATTCCCAATATTAGAAGTTCGATACCAGCCATATTCGTGGGTTCTTGTCTTAAATCAAGATATTCCAAGCTAATACGCTATACTTGAGACCTAATAAATGGAACGAATCGTCTCAAATTGGCACCGTAGCAACGACTAAGACTCTCAACATCACTGCTATTGCAGTGGTAGCCTGTGGATTAACTTTTATTAAAATTAGAAACCCGTCTTTCTGAGAACAAAATTGCAGATATGGCGAAATGCTTAACCGCCCAACGTTGCTTCCCATCAAAGTACTTTGGAGTCGAATGTCTTGTATTCGAGCATTTGTGTGATGATTTCGTCTTTTCCGTCTGTGACGATTTTGCGCAAATTTTTGACGGTGATTGCTGCAATAACGCTGGTTGCGTTCAGTATATAGTAGCCTCTGGCTACTGCTTAAGTTGCGATGATTTTCATTTTTTCGTGGGTATCTCGGTATCTACTCCATGACGACCATTTCGTTGCTTTCATGGCATTTGTCTCCATAACTTTCATCACGCATGCTGCGAAACAAGGTTCCTACAGTTCTTTTGGGACGCCGACAAGCGTGAATGCAGCAAGAACCAATATTTCGCAGTACTTCTGGTGTTCTTCAAGGGCCATTGTTGCTGTATTAATTGCATCTTGCTCAGCATAATCTTTACAAAGCTTGCGTAGGTCGTTGTTTTGACTTTCGCTAAGGTGGCCCCATGCCGTGCGCGGCGGTTCAGCGACGATAATTGGGTTGGGGGCCTCAGGTGGCTTTCTTGATGTACTATCCCCATGGAATTAATGTCCCGAGTTTAGAGGTACAAAATGTTAGACCAAGATACACCTACTAGATTTATACCTAAGCGTGAGTAGTGCATGTAGATAGTAGCAAACTACCCCTCAGTGAGAGAAATGACCCTCACCTTTCTGTTTTGATAATTTCTTCCACTGTCGTTGCAGGAAAGGATTCGTCCGATCCAGCGTTACTATTCTTTTTCTCCATTAAAACTTAGATAATGCTATAGACAGTATGCTGCGGCACTCTTTAGCCCAGAGGGTTTTGACAGGAAAGAGAGAAAGAGATGCTAGAGTTGTCTATTCCGCCATTTTAGAAAGCGGCCACAATGTTGGACTAGGCTTTATTTATGTCGACGTTGTGGATTGTCTACTGTTTTTCCTTTGTTGGCTACGAAGGCGTCCATTTTAGCAACTACGGGGTTATACGCCTTCATTCGAACAAAAATTGATGTTTTCAATTTGCCGAACTTGATACTCTCTCATATGACCCATAATTTCCCTGCTATCCATTAAAGTTCCGCAAATTCTGTGAGAGTTTGGACGCAGTAGAAGCGATAGGTGTAATAGCAAAATGGAGACAATAGCAATTCGCATTCCCATTTCTTCATTCGGCGCAGATATTCCAGTACCAAGGTACGTCCTACTTGGTTTCAAAAGTATCGTAGAAAAGGAGAGATTAGCTTGGTTGTCTACAATATCGTAAAGAATTACTTGCGCAGGCTACAAGCTTAAATCCTGAGAATGCATATTAGCACTACTACATAGCTGATCAATAGTCATTCTCTCATTATATCCTCTGCAATAAATGTATTAATGGTCCATAGCAGTATTGCAATAAAAAAAGCCTTCTAACGTAAACAAGAGACGCCAAACCAGCAATGAGGACGCCGTGGTAATACATCGCTCCAGTGCAGCCTCCGTCAACTCAAAGCCTCTTCCAGCCTAACATCATCTTGTCGAATTGGCAGCTCTCCCTGCAGCACGCCCTGATTCGGGGTTTTCGAGTGGCTCCTCATACCATCCCCGTTCACTTCCGTTGAGGGTCCGATATGCCGATAAACTCTGATTGAGCCGTCCTGTCCTGCGGTCACCATCGTTTCACCGTGGACGTCCACCCAGAAGCACACTCCTTTGTGACCCTGTACTCTCTGAAGTACCTCCTTGTTCTTGACGTCCCAGAGTATGACATCTCCATCTTCGCTGGCAGAGGCAACGAATGCCTCACCGTGGAGGATGGCAAAACAGCCCCCGATGGAGAATTTCTCATTGCGATGGCCTTGATAAGTCTTTTTGACGCTTCCAGAAACGTAGTCCCATAGGCGGATGCAGTTATCGAGATTGAACGCGAGGACGAATCGGCCATTGGGGGAGAAGCATACATTGCTTACGGCGGGATTGTCTTCGTGGACAAGAGTTCGTAAGCATTGGCCGGTCGAGGTGTCCCATACACGGCTAAGACAAGTATTAGCAAGTTGAGCAGATATCTCCCGAATTGTTTGGCGCTTAAAACTTACATCAATCCGTCGGTAGAACAGCTCACAACCAATGTCCCGTCACAACAAAAGTCGATGCCTGCAACCGGGTCGCTGTGAGCGGGGAGACTTCTCATCAACCGTCCTGCTCGTACGTCCCAGAGAAAAACGGCCTCGTCGTAGGATCCGCTGGCCAAGATGTTGCCCTTTGGCGAAAAAGCCAAGCAATGAATGTAATTGTGATGCCCTCTCAGCGGCGCCATCTCTTGGCCAGCAGATTTCCGCGCCGTCGTTTTCGGCCGCCCGGTCACTCGATCCCAGAGCCGGATTGCCTTGTCGTCCGAGCCGCTCGCAAGCGTGTTGCTGTCTGGCGTCCATGCCACGCAGCTCACGCCGGCCATGTGGCCAACCAGTGTGTCCATATGAGCTCCCGTGGCGGCATCCCAGATTTTGACCGTCGCGTCGGCAGAGGCAGAGGCGATGAAGCGGCCATTTGGCGAGATGCGCACTTGCGAGACTGCTTTGGTGTGTCCGTGGAGAGCTAGTCGAGCTTTGTAATTCGGCTTGAGCGGCTCTCGTGGAGGTGTGGGAGTGGGCTGTTGTGGTTCTGGGGAAAAGGATTCTGATCGTGATTGGTTTGAGGACGTGGGGGACTGCGAGCGCGGTCGAGAGCGAGGGGATCTTGTTGGAGATCGTGTCGAATGGACGGGTGATTGTGAGCGCGTTCTTGAGCCGGAGCTGGATGCTGATCTTGATCGACGGACAGATTCCGAGAGCGGCCGCGAAAGCGACTGCGAGCGAGAGAAATCATCGAGATATTGCGGCGGCTTGCTTGGACTTTTGCTCAGGCCGCCGCCGCGCTGCGACAGCCGCCTGGGGGGCAGAAAGTCGTGTGGATCGCCGGCCAGCACATCGGGAGAGCTAGACCGTGAGGATGGAGTGTCGCCGGTCCTTCGCCGTTTGTAGGGCGGAGGCGTGTCTCTCGCCAGCTCGTCGGGGGAGCTCATTGTTGAGTGAGGTTCTTGACGAGGCTGAGCATTGAAAGGCTGGAGTAAGGCTGGCCTAGTAGGGTGGGTCAGAGTCGCGTCACAGGGTCTTTCGGTGCTGCGTGCAGGGTAGGGTCTTCAAATGTCGTCTCACTCGTGGAATTAAATTCACATGGGACTTTTTAGTAAGATTCTACATGCTCTGTAATGCTTTTCGCAGCTTGCTCGAGTATTAGCAGATGGACTGCATTAATTTAAGGTCCAGACTGCGTTTCTCGTTTCCACGTTATAGGTTAATCAACGAATCTCCATCTACAGCGGCTTTGTTAATCGATATAGAACCTGCAAGAATTTAATGTATGCTAGGATCACCAAAAGCGTAAAAAAAAAAAAAAAGAAACAAAAGCAAAGGAACCTGGATGAATTTCTACAATGTCTACTCTAATACCTTGCTAGATGCTGATGCGATTTACGGTATAGAAACGAGTTATTTGCTCCCTATAAAGTGTGCATGTAAAATATCTCCGTTTCCGGCGACAGCGAGAAATGACATTGCAAACCTTTTCTCCTCATTGACAGATTTTGACAAGGTCCCCTAATTTTTTTTGGGGAAAGAAGGCGCGCCTCTATCACCGAAAGGGCTTGATGTAGTTCTTTGACGCCTGAACAAACATAGTAAAGTAGCCGCTGGGAGTTTGTGCCACAGCTGAGTAATAAAGAAGATGGACATGGAAATGGGCATGCATGGCGAGATGCGCCGGGCAGCCCGCGACGGTGATCCATAGTGGCAATGATGAAAATTCTGTGTTTTTCAGCTGTGCTTTGTTAGTATCTGCATTGCCATGCGTCTTGCATGAATTTGTCAATCTACGAAATGCCCTCCGGGTTACTGCTCAGTCGACTACCAGGTATTTTTCCGTCACCAGTGTGGCGTATCAGAGACATTAGTACATAGTAACTCCGTAGGTAGTCTACACTTGCTATTTTAGCCTGGTTTCTGAAGCAAAGACCTTCTGACGATTGCCCAGATCAGGCATTGCTACTGCTCTGCAGAGGCGAGTCATGCGCGGCGGCGCAGTGCAGCGCAGACACTAGGCCTGGCATCTGCGACGAACACCGTAAGCGCTGCAGAGCCAGAACCACAGCGGCCAAGCGCCTTCTCCGCGCCAGACCGCAGCCGAATTTGGCCTCCCCCCAGAGAGACCCCTTCTTTTGAGCGGCGTTAATCTTGCCAGGTTTTTCGTCGCTCGCATTTCCCGCCTCTTGATTCTTCACCGCACTCGGAGTCTCCATCATCCCTCTTGTCGCCATCACCCCGGTTATCTCGGGCTGCGTTTTTTTCGGCCGGCTGCCGGTGTTTACACCCTAGTCTCAGGAGACAGGAATGTCGGTTCCTCTTTAAAGGCCAAAGGCAGTGCCTGCTCCGCTGCAACCCAGCTTCGCCAACCTCAACTCCAACTCCAACCCTCGACCTCTGGGCCCTTTCACAAACACGCTGAGAGGCGACGCCGTCGCGCCTGCACTTCTGTGTCAGCTCAGCCTTGTCGCCCAGCTAGCCGCCGGCGCTGCTTCAGCCGAGCGGCCTCATATCCACCTACCTGATACCGCATCTCTCTCCACCGTTTGATACTTTATATCTCTCTGCCATCCCCCCAGGCAGCGTCCATCGATAAACACAACACAACAAACAGCATTCTCCGTGCCGTATGCAGCTTCCTCTCGCATCAGTTGCCGCCGCATTTCAACCCACAAAGATTCGCCCTAGGCGCTCGCGCAGCAGGGCTGCTTCACAGGCCATCCGCCTTCTCGCAGGCTTCCCGCATGCAACGTTCGACAGGCCATCATGATGGAGCCCGTCCCCGAGACTGAGCGCATGGAGGAGTTTCGCGCTGTGCCGCCCAAGGCCCGCGTCAACAGCCCGCACTCGCTTTCCACGTTCGACCTTGACATTGCCCGAAAACCGCCAAACCTGCGACGCAGCACCGACCCAAGTCCGACGTCGAACCAGGCCTTTGCCTGGACGCCCATGGTCACCCTTCCCTACCGCCCCCGAACCACCTCTCCTCTCTCCGGCATTTCGCACATGCGCTCGCGGTCCGCTGCTAGCATTGGCGCCGCACCCATGGGCCGTACGCAGTCCATGCCTGGCGTCACTGGCTCCGGCCACCTGCTCTTCTCCCCACAGCTTCGCCCTGCCAGCCCTGCGCAATCCCCCAGCCGAGTTCGCACGCCGCGAAAACCAGTGGATGAAGCGTTTCCCATGACGTCTCCCGTGCGCACCTCAGTCCTCGACCACGACCGGCTGCCTGCTGACCGGAGTGGCTCTCCCGTCCTGGGTGCCTCAACTAATGGGACCCTGACTCGGGCACGGCGAACGTCGTCGCCAATTCGAAATTTCTCCCAATCGAGCACTGGCTCTCTCCCGGCTCTGCCCAGCACGCCAACCTCCAGCTCCTCATCTCTCTACAAGGCATACGATCCCTTTTCCAGTAGCTATGGCACACTCTCCTCGGTCCCTTCAACGCCGACGTCGTTGAGGTCTCGTAGCCCTAGCATTTCGAGTTTGGAAACCATCCCTGACTCTCCTGACGCGGAGGAGGAGGCGCTTGAAGCCGAACGACAGGCCCAGCTCAAGGCTGCGGCTGAGGCATCGGATGCTGGAGACCCATCGGATGCCAAGGGACGGGGCAGCGGCCTGGATCTGCCGGCTCGCGGTCGCACAATGGCCTTTGGCTCCAAAGACAAGCGGAAGCGATGGAGCGTTTGCGGTGCCGAACGACGTGGCGACATTGACTTGGAAACGATTTGGGAGGATTAAGATTGAATGCCCTGGCGGCGGCGGTTTTGGAATTATGAACGATACAGCATATGAGCGTGCGCAGACATTATGGCCTTTTTCTTCTTCTCCTTCTTCCTCTCTTTTCTTTTTATGTTTTGGTTCGGAAAGGTCCTTTTTTTCTTGTTTCACTCGACTTTCCAGGCGCACGGGACACAGGCATGTGGAATTTCGGAAATTGGCGCATACACACTTATGCATATTGCTTTCGCATCCACCTTTTTTATGGCTCTCTCGTTTTCAAAGCCAAATCTTGCTTTTTATTCTTTGTGCGACCAGAGACGCAGCGGGCGTATAAAATGACAGAGTCTCTGGTCCGGATACCCTTTTGCATATTATACGTCTTACAACAGAAAGACTCATTTCCCACGGCACATCTGCCCGAGGCAGAACAGCTACGCTATGACGCAGACAGATAAAAACAAAATGCTATCCAGGACGATGGTACTACTACTATGAATCAATTAGTTTCGTCAAATTTCAAATTGCCCTGACATGTGAAGTCTGTTTTTGTTGTGCGCCCTGCCCCTTGACCGTGAACTATTCCCAGACCATCACACACCTTGTTAACATGGGGGCTATGCAGGGCGACAAGTAAGCTCCCTTGGCTCCCTTTCCACCTGCAGCTGGTCTAATCTTACGGCTGTCACACGGCAGAAGGTGAGTGGACTATTGACAGCGGTCTCGCATCCGACGAACTCTCCCTGCGTTCAGAGGGCTCATCCCAAGGTCTTATTTTGGTTCCAGATTCATTAATTGTTGCCGTGCAGGGGCTGGGGATTTGTTATAAATGATGGGCCTGATCGTGTTCCTCTTGATAAAAATTTTGATCAAGTCCGACCATCGTTGGGACAGGATAATTTGCTTGACAGGCCGTCCACTCTTTATATACTGTTTCCGCCAGTGTTTGTCTGGCTGGGTGTTGTTTTATACTTCTTCTCGTTCTTTACTTTTCCCTCTTTTTAAATATCAGTCCTTTTTGTGTGTATTAGTAATACTTGATATGCGTTTCCTCTCTTTTGCTGCGGCCACTGGGCTGCTGTCTGTGGTGGCTGCTCAGGCAGATCAGGTGGGTTTACTGAGCTCACATGGCAAGCTTTGAGTCGAGAACTAACATCATTTTCTAGTTGGATGACGGCATTGACCTGGCCAAGTCCTTCTTGTTGGACAAGAGGCTCTTGCTGGAGACATGTGCCACTCTGAGCATCACCACCACCACGACGTTGACTGTCGAGACGACAATCTATGTCACTCCCACTACCCATCAGGGTGGACCGCCTACTCCTGGGACGTCCACTACGGCGACGAAATCTGAGCCATATGTCCCGCCGCCGTATTCACCCCCTGGGGGTCAAGGCAGTTCTACTGCGACTTCTACCGGATCTAGCAGCTCCATTACTCCATTTGAATCGTCTTCCTCTACACCTCCAGGAGGCCAGTTGACGTCGTCTACTACTACCCGCAGCAGTAGCACCGTTCCTTCATCTGCCTCTACCACTTCTTCCACAAAGAGTAACCCCCCTGCTGGTTCTTCTACTCCTCCTGGAGGACAGTCCTCCACCCCGCCTGGAGGACAGTCATCAACTGGCACCGGCTCTTCTACCCCTCCAGGGGGACAGTCGTCCACATCTTCGTCGCCTCCAGGTGGTCAGTCCTTGACATCCTCCAGCACTGTGAGCAGTAGTACCTCGTCTTCCACTGGAAATGTCCCACCTAGCTCTGCTACCACCTCGTCGACCCAGAGCAACCCCCCTGCTGGGTCTACTACTCCTCCTGGAGGACAGCCATCCACTGGCAAGGGTTCTTCCAGCAGCACCTCTTCCACTACCGGAAGCATGTCTACCCAGTCCACTAGTGCTAGCACAACAAACACGGTGTCAACCACTTCCTCTGGACCACCTGGTGGCCAGTCATCGACGTCGTCCACCACCGGAGTCTCCTCTACAACTGCGCCTCCTGATGACTGCGAACCGACAGATAGCTCAAGTAGCACAACAAACACTGCTTCCACTACTTCATCTGGACCCCC